GGGGGGATCGTTCAGACTCGGATAATAAATAAGACACCTGCAGCTCCAGCCCAAGCAGTCTAAGCCACCCCTGCAGCTCCAGCCCCAACAGTCTAAGCCACTACTGCAGCTCCAGCCACTACAGTCTAAGCCTCAGCTGCAGCCTCCACGTGCTCCCCAGCCAACTCCCCATCAGCTGCATTCTTGCAAATGTAACTTAAAATTCTTAATGTATTACAACTGACACTTAAAACATACTGGTTTAAACTTCTGTACAAACAAAGAAGCTTCTAGCAGTTCTTCAGTTGGTAACCACGAAGTCTGTCAACAGAAAGCAGGATGTCTTTGGGGTCTTCAGTATGTCTGGACTTCCTGTTGAACCACTTCTAGAAGGAGCTGCAGCTGTAAGCTGCTGTAGTCTGGGAAAGGGGAAGAGAATCAGAATTATTTTCCCTGGTTGATCCCAAACCCTCAGCTCTAGGGTTAAAATAATTCATATGTCAGAGACCTGGTTTACAAAGTGATTTAATTCATAAGCATAGGGTAAAAAGTCCACAGTAGGAGTTAAAAAGACGTGTGGGCATGTGAAACGTACATTTTCCTTTCCCTGCTGTGTAATATTTACCACCATTTGGAGAACACTTTCAGAAAGGTTTCTGCTTTTGCTCCAGGTCTGTGTTTTGTCTTTAACTAAAAAAAAGTAAAAGACAAACCCAGGACTAACAGGGTCTTTGTCCTGCATGAATCTAGTGTGAAAAGCAAATTTGTTGTTTGTCATGAACAAACTTACCCATGCTCTAAAAGCAGATGAATTTCACTCATTTAGCTCCTCATGAATATGTCAGCTTTGATCCAAAACAAGTAGGCGTATTAAATCATTCATTTTTTTAGCTCCAAGAAAGTTTCGTTTCTTTTACAAATATTGAAAATAAAGATGAATATTCTTCCACCAAAATGGAAATTTCCCACATTAAATGGCTGTTTGAGACATTTTCTGTTCAAACTTTTCACCAAACACAAGTTGGCAGATCTCAGTGTGACTTACTGAGAATGGCCACAGGCACCTTTGGGTTATTAGACAAAGCAAATAACATTTTGTCAGGCTAGTGTGCAGATGGATAAGAAATGCTTTGCAGGTGAGCGCTATAACTACTGGAGGCTAACTTTGAAAGGTCTTGGGTGGAGGGGGAAGCGGCACTGATGGATGAGCATCCCCAAGGTTGCCAAGGCCATGAAAAACCAGCGAGCAAAGGCCACAGCGTTGATGAGCTGGTAGATCTCTCCAATGATCACAATCAACACAGTCAAAGGGTACTGGAGACACAGACAATACAGCTGTAGTGACATACCACCATTCAGTCCAAGTCTGTTGTAACTTCTTTATACAATGACAGAGGATAGTAAAGCACAGTGATTAGAAAATGAGAAATGGCTGGCTTTCCTTATACTGCTGCTTTACAGTGTGAGGGATGTACTTTACCAGTAACAGCACAGCAGGCAAAGGTGTATGTCTGTGAATGTGAATCATGGAAAAGATTGGTGGCCAGTGGCCCTCCCTGGCTCCTACAAACAGCATCCTGCAATAGAGACAGCAGGACATGAGAATAGACGACAGAGAGCCCTTAGCTGAATTGAAGCCGGAAATTGCAATCAGTTCAAAACTGCCCACAAACTGCCCAAATACAGACAGCACGTTATCTGTCCCACCAGAGACAAAATCACATTGGACCACTGCTACACACATCGCACATCGAGTTGCATGGGGGTTATTTACATCTTTATGGTCACCTTGAAAGGTGACACCCACCTTGGTTGCTGGGCAGACAGAATAATTACAGCACATCGAGTTGCAGACCATTTCTCCCCCTTGCACACATACAGTAAGGATAGATAGCAAGGCGCGTCAGTAGTGAGATGGCCCTGAAAATGATTTTTGAAGCGAGAGAAGATTCTGATGTTGAAGCAGACGAAGACATTTCAAAATTGGAGGACAACATCTCAGAAAATTTGGAATTGGAAAGTGATTTTGATGACGACGTTTTGGCCAAAGATTTTTATCCAAGTACTGAGGTAAGACTTTGATTCCAATGCAATGTAAAATACAGTCTGTTTGATAAAATGTGTTCAGAGTGTTAGGTATTTTTAGTCAGATAGATATTGGTTAGATACTTGATGTATTAGAAATGTTTAGAGTAGACAGGATGTCTAGCTCAGGCTGTTAAATGCTTAGGCATTCTTATGAGTTGCAGCAGGTTGCATATGGTCAAGGATAACTAGATAGAAAGTTGATGACTGTTAGAAGACAGGATGTTTAATATTATTATTATGACGT